TCGAAGATCGATGCGTCGAACCCGAGCGCTATCTGGCGGAGAGTTGCCGCAGCGCCGCCGGTTGCAATGACCCCCGCTTCCGCAACGTAACAACTCCGTAGAGTTGTAACTGATTCTCTGACCCACTTATGGGGAGGGCTGCTCCAGCGACGCTGGCCGGGCTTCGCGGTCAGCGGTGACCGGTGGCTGCTGGAAGCTCTGGGATCTCTTGCACCTTTGCTTCGGTTTGTGTTGACAAAACTGCCGTAACTAACCGAGGAGACCTGCAGTGGCGTGGTGTATTGCGATGTATCGATTGATATGCCATTTAAACCTATGGTAAAGAGTCGATTATTAAGGTGTTTGCTGCGAACACCTTGTTTGTCGATCCTTTTCCGTAGGTTTAAATGGCATAAAAATCGATACGTCGCAATTCACGCCGCGCCACTGGGGACCTGATGTGCTTTCCTTTAAGGAAATTAGCAAGGATCAACTGAGAGGGTTCCTGTTGCTTTTACCTCGAGGAACTTTAAAATATTATCATTTTACCTTTGTGAAAAAGTAGATTTTGCAACAATGTATTGATGCAAGAACGAACTTTGAACTCAAGCTAAAATTTTCACCGGTGGATTGTCTCATTGAAAGGTTTTATTTAGGCCACATTTCAACGAAGTCCCTGAGGTCCCCAAGAAAGGGACACTCTTAAGGCAGAATGCGCACATAGATTTCTTAAGAATATTTTTACGAATCGGGGACAGCTTTTAGTCTCCAATTAATTTTCCAATTTTGGTACCAAAAAGGATTTTTATTCGTATACCCCACTTTTCAAAATAACATCGCAATTACTTCTTACAGTTGTCAATACATAAATGCACAAATTTAATATACTTTGCACCATCCAAAACGTATGAAACAGTTATGCATAATGACAGGGGTTTTTCTTTCTTTCATGTAAATATAATGTAAAAGCCATCAGTTTGTAAACATCCTGAATTTGTTTTCTATTTTCGTTGAAACACCAACCAGACAAGGTACAATATGTATATCCAGATGGACACTCTGTTTTTTCTAAAAGTAATCTCCCGCGGTCAGTGCTTATGACGAGAGGTTCTCCTTGGTAAACCGGCCCGCGGTGATAAATGCCTTGCAAATTTTTTCCCAACCTTTCTCTAGTTTCCTCCCTCTTCCCCCCGTTTACTTCTGGAACATTCGCAATTTCAAACTGGTTTCCCGTGGTATGATGCAAGGAATAAATTTCCTACATTCCCGAACCAGTTCCAAGCGATTGACCAAATGGGCTTTGGGTTTCCCCAAACATTCCACGGCAGCGGTGATGCTAATGATACAAGAACGACCGGGAAATTTTAAGAATCTGAAAGCTGCTCGGATGGGGGAACTTTGGACGAAAAATTGTTGGAACTGTCACCGTGCATGCTAATAGAAAGAGGAAAAGATTGCGGGTCAAATAACTCTGACGGAATGTAGAGGGAACGGAATTGAACGATGAGGTTTTTTTTTATGATACGTTCATCGAAACTTTAGCCATTGAGTTGTTGTTGTTGTTTTTTTTTTAAAAAAATGGAAAACTTATAAGATGGGATAGAGAATTTGGCAACTGTGCCAAAGGCTGCATGATAGGTAGACTGCCTCTGGTTAAAAATTTGTATCCAATGTCGGGAAAAATAAAAGGAAAAATATCCCTATTCATTCCTGTTGTGTCCCCTGTCCCATATTAATCTTTATTTTCCAAACATAAACTATTATTCGATTAATATGATTTGTGTCTGATCATTCGTTAACTGATTTTGACTCTTTTGTGGTTATTGTGTAAAAATCTATGGATTAATTACGTTTAAATTTACTTTCAACCATCTCTGAAATCAGTGTAGTGAGTTTTGACCTGTTTTAAGGTTGCAAATTTCGTACACCTAAAATCTTCTTAAATTATTCGTTCTTTTTTATTTTAATTATTCAAAACTCAGTCTTTTTTCTATCTAAAATCCGAGTGGATGCAATGATTGTAAAATGCATAATGTCAGTTTTTCTCTACGAAAGACGGCAAGACATGATGAAAATTGGCTGGAAATTTCCGAACATTTTAAATGCAAAAGAATTTGAGCAGACATTCGACAGAAATTTTAAATTTGAATATTATACGTAAAAAATGACGGTGGCAAAAATCAATGCAGTGAATCAACGAACGCTCCGCATTCGTGAATTTTTCTGCTTTCAACCTCAACTAATTTCATGTGTGAAGTATTCTGGTCGTCGCTACAAAGTTCGAGCAAAAAGTAACCGAAAGAATTATTCATTCCAACAGCGTTTAAAACAGCACGAGTGTTTTTTATCGGAGGTTAAAATCTCTCAAGGTCTCAAATCCTGAGGAGATCCTATGTTTTATTCCGATGTTTTAAATTCCGGATTCTTCTTCCGGAAGGAGAGAGCTGCGTCCTAACTATAAAATCTGCGGGTTTATCAATTAATCTTAATCACTGGTTTTAAAATAACCCAACGTTGTTAGTTTCAGTAATAATATAAAACTACTCAACATGAGTAAGAAAAACATTTTTTAAAAAAAGTCTAACCATCGATGCCTTTTGAACTTTGGTTTTTCCGCCCGTTGCAATTTTTCGTGCTGATGAGTTTTGAGCACTTGGGTGCTTTTCAAGTCGGAGGATTTGGATGTTCCGACACCGACAAATACAAATACATTACGTCGCGCAGAGAGTAGGTTGCTCGCTGAGGACTTCTAGAGAAAATATATTTCGAGTCAGGAAATTTAAACTTCTAATTAACTTTAAGGGTCATTGTGTCTTCGAATCTGCTATCGTTTGATATGGACTAAATGACTATGGAATAAAAGCAAATACTATTTTAAATCCAAAACTCTATTAAGTCGCTGTTGGAAATCAAACAGAGAGCCAAATAATAGCAATACAATTACGTCAAAATCATATGCATGTAATTTTTAAGGCAAAGTTTGTCTGCGTTGTACGCGTATAATGTCAAATATAACGAGATTCAGTATCAAAAGGAAAGTTAAACGCACATTTTGGCCATGTGAGTTGAGTTTCATTATGAGGTTGATTAAGTTGGTTCATTTGCTCTCATTAATGATAAATCTTAACAAATGCAGTCTGTCTCTTGAGGTGTTGGCAGGTCCATTTTGTAACCATCTCCGAAACCGGTTCGACTTAGAACTTACGCCAGTTTTATTGCCATAAAGTAGTGACGCGGTTTTGACTCTCGAGCGTTGTGCGATTTGTTTGAATTTTACTTTAGCTGTTTGACGGACGAAAATCAAAGAGGCAAACTCTTCTTTTAAATTTAAAAATTCTCAAAAGTAGTTGCAATTTAGTCTACACAGTTCCCAAAATAATGGTAGTTACATTATTTTTTCTTCCCTTATTTCTTCTTTCATTAACTATGCAAGTTTGTTGTTAAAACCATGTAGAACGGCACACTGGAAAAAAAACACATTGGATCTAGAGTCCAGGCTCTTGAAAACATTGAAAAGAAAAAGGACTCTTGATTCAATCAGATTTAAGCTTAAATCAAAAGGAAATCCGCTCAAATTAAGAGGCTTGGTTCTTGATTAAAGCTTAAATCTGATTGAATCAACAGTGTTTTTTCTTGTCGATGTTTTTAAGAGTCTGGACTCTAGATCCAATGTGTTTTTTTTCCAGTGCACAATACTCTCTACTTAATTTATTGTATTATTACGATGAGAAAACGTTTTAACATTTTGAAGCAGCACTGTTACATGACATGAAATATCTTCAACAGTATTATCTTTTGCCTGTAATTTGCTAACTTGGGTTCGGTGCGTTTCTGTGCCTTAAAACCCACTTTTAGTCGCTTTCGGTCACTGGCATTGCAAAAACTGCCATGCAGCAAACCATTTTCTCACGATTGCCATTAGAAAGAAATGTTTGCCGGATTGTCTAGCGCGAAAATTAGAAGTATCAGTTATTTTTCCCGGAATCTTGGCGACACTGCTACCGAGGAAAGTATCAACGGAGCAGCTAATTAATGAACAGGACTTTTAGAGAATAAAAATACCACGTTACAGGTAACTAGGCCTGTGAAACTTGAATATGTGAGTCAACAGTTAACGATTTCACAAGACAAACTTCAAACGTTGAACTCAATCCTCCGGTTTTGTGGCAACAGTAAGTTTTGTTGGAAATCTGAATGAATTAAATTAAATTCTGGAAAAACTTGAATTCTAAGTAATGGTGAAAAAGACAGTTCAAGGTAGTTGGAGGAGGGAAGGAGCATTTTATAAAATTTTCAATCTATGTATCATTTAAAAGCCGCGCCATGATGTCTTGAATATTGAGGGAAAGGTATGTGAATGAACTCATGACAGCCTATGACAATTTAAATTTTGATTAAATTTAAATATTTAATTTAAATATTTTTATCATCAAAGATGTGGAAAAATTTAAAGAGGGCCTACGATTTCGACTGAAGTTTTTTCTCTTTTCTTATGTATGCTCTCGGTAGGATTCTGATCAAGGTTTTATTTTCTGAGCATTAGGAGTGAGTGATGAAATAAGTAATTCAACCGTGGTCTTGCTGAACTTTGCTTTTCAAACATTTTTTTTTTTTTTTTTTTTTTTTTTTTTTTTTTTTTTTTTTTGCTGTCTGCTCCCTTCTTCTTGAGCCACCCATTAACTTCTTTCTTCTCTTTCACTTCTTCATTCCGTCCTATTTTTTTCAATTTTTTTCTTCTTCTTAGCAACAAAGAAAATTCATGTATGAATGGCAAGTTTATTCCGTACATCACTAGCGAAAGAAAGAAAAACTTCCTCGATGTGACTTTTTGGACGCAGTAGGAAGAAAAAAGAGTCTTTAATGGACTTGGAGACTTTTTAACACTACCTTCTTATCTACGAAGCACCTTATACAAAGATGATTTCTCAAAGTTCTGACCAAAAAAATTGTAACATAAGAAAACTTAAACAGTACCATGCTCTGATAAAACTCGAAAGCAAAAAAGTTCTTGGATAACTTACACCACTTCCTTAGGAAACTGCTCGAGAGTTTGGCACATAACTTTCCTTGAGTGCTTTTCATGATGACTAAATTTGATTTGGCACACAAAATAAATCCACTAAAGATCTGTACAAGATTGACTCAACGTCAAAACTAGCTACACTTGCAGTCGTTAACTTTGCACCATATTCCGCAAGGGGAAGTAAAGTTGGTTCGTTCGATTGAGACAGGAACTTCAAAGTTCTGGAAAAAATTGAGGGTTTTATTTTTGCGAAGAGCAAGGCGCGAGCACGTGCCATGCAACACGCGGTATCGGAGAATACGTTTGGCTGACCTGCAACTTTGAGCGCCCTCCGTGCTACGTTGTACAAATATGAGGGCTGTTTTTGCTACCCTTGCGTTTGAGTCTAATCCCTTACAGAGGCATTGATTTTCGACTCTATCTTTATTTCCTTTTGGTGTCTCAAAAATTTTTGAGGATGGTTTGTTAGTAAGTTCCTTATAAAGTTTAGTTTTTTTTATGAAAAAATTTGTTACTAACGTGGTTGTTTCCCCTTCCATATTCAAGGAACTTCATCTTTCCCGTCTCGAATTTTATTGAAAGTTTTAAGTATAGATTTAACTTAATGTTTCAAAATAATTTCTTTTAAAACGTAAGTTTATATCTCCTCCTAGACTTGCATTTGCTTTAGCGTTTCCTTCCTTCAGTATAAAAAATGTCACACGAAAAAAATTAAACCACTGATTGAACAATTCAGTTGCTAGAAAAAAGTGACTGCAATGTTTCAATGTAGATTTTACAACAGAAAAGTGCTATTTTAACCACCCCCGTGGTTAAATCAGTTTACAATAGTGGTTAAAGTAGTATTGTTTTCTTGTAAAATCTACGTTGAAAAATGTCAGTCATTTTTTTTGGCAATTCAATTGTTAAATCAGAAATTTGATTTCCTCCGGGCACGTATTAAGGTCAATTCTTGGGAGTTTTTGCGAAGGAAGGTTTTTTCCTTGTACCGACTTAGGTACCCTTAAAAGACGGCAAGCTTTGTCACTCTTTAGACATTTTAGAGGCTGAACAATTCAAAAAATTTCATTGCAGATGGCGTGGATTATTCATGATGTGACATCGTAAAAATGATTACGACATTCGTTTATAACACGTACACATAGCACGGAGATAACTTAAATGCACGGCAAAATTGAGCATTTTCATACACGTTGTTCACAATTAAGCTAAGATAAAACGAGAGTTTTTAGCTGAAAATTATTTTTGTTGGATAAAAATGACCCAATATGCAATACATTTTTTGTCAGGCACTTCTGTGGATTAAATTGCTATGTATTCTGAATTGGAGAGCGTTGCGTCATAATCGCCAAAACCAACATTTAAGTAATCCGCCCATGGCGCTCGCGCACTTTAATTGGCAGACTTTCGTTGAGCAAAAATTTGATTTGTGCCCCAGAGTAATAAACTTCTAGCAAATTTTAAATTTTTTATGAAGGAAAGAAAATTCCTTTTCATTGATTATCCCGTCAGAACTTATATTTTGTATCAAAGAAGACCATGTACTATATTCTTACGAGACGGTTTTCGGAAACATGGTAAAAGGAACCAAGGTTTCCCCTCATTATGATTGTTTCATGATCTGAGTTTTGATACTCAAAAACGGAGTTTTCTTGATGACCCGCTAAAGAACTTTTGCGTATTTGTATTCGCTTTCACACAAATTATTAATATTCAAGCCGAATTTTCTTAAACCTACCGTCCTTTTCTTTCCTCCCTTTCTAACTCGAATATGTAAAAAAAAGAAAATAAAATAAGGTTGTCAGAAAATTCGTTTTACTTTAACTGGATCTCCGCAACACTAAACCAGATTTTTAGCCACAGGAATTAGAAAATAATCACATTCCCGTATTAGAAAAAAAGCTATAAAAAATACGGTCACATCCACATCCTTCTTTCGAACCTTTCACCCTGCCTAACCTCAATCCAAAAAAAATCCGGTCGGAAAGTCAGGACACGAAGCAAATTAATCCACAGTGCGCAGGTCAGCCAAAACCCCTCGAGCAGGAAGAAAAAAACACGGCGGCCAGGGCCGGGAACCGTAATCCAAACACACCACAATCACAGGGAACCGGGACGTCACGCGGCGAACATCGCACTCTCTGGAGACGCGAAACCGTTGCTGAGCGAGGAACGAGCCGACTGACGGCAGGCGAGGCGACGCTCTTGCGCGCCGGCTAGATCCAGCTCATTACCTTGCGCACCGGCACAGGTGGGGAGAGCGAGAGAGATGCAGCCGGGCGGCCGGAGGAGCGAGCGAGATGGAAATACGCGCCTAGCTGAGCGAGAGAGTCGGGCGATGCGGTCAGGTATGTCTATGCGTAAGAGGTGCGGCTCTACTGTGTGCTAGAGTGAGAGAGGCTGAGTGATGCAATGAATGAGAGTGAGAGAGATGGAATGATGAAACTTGTGAGGGAGAGAGAGAAAAATATGAAACATTTGAGAGGGAGAGAGACGGTATGCGTAAGAGATGTGGTTATGTGGCACCGGTGTGAGAGAGTTTGAGAAATTCGTATGGATGGGGTAGCGACCCTATCAGAACGGTCCCATGGGTATGATGCAATGTATGAGAGTGTGAGAGATGGAATGATGAAACTTGTGTGAGAGAGAGAGAAAAATATGAAAAATTTGAGAGGGAGAGAGACGGTATGCGTGAGAGATGTGGTTAGCACCGGTGTGAGAGAGTTTGAGAAATTTGTGCGGATGGGGTAGCGACCCTATCAGAACGGTCCATGGGAATATTGCTCTCCCGCGGAAATTAATAGGGATTTGGCATGCAGATTCCCAATGAAATGGATAATCAAGGGAACCACGGCCCCTGAACCTGAGGAAACCTGAGGATTCCCATTGGTCACCCTGGCAGCCCCATGTGTTCCGGTTGGTCCCTTCATTCAACCCATCAGGACACAACAGGTGTACTTCTACATCCTTGGGTTCCAATGAGTCCATATGTATTGGTGCTTGAAGCACCATTACGAATAAGAAAAACGGAAACAAACACAATATGGAAAAAGAGGGAGGAAAAGGATGTGTGTTTTCGACGGCGCAGAGATACAACTATTCGTACTTGATGGACGTCCGTGCTGCATCTGAAAAATTGAAGGCGCGATGACGCGAAGCGTGAGCTCTCAATGCTATGCTTCACGTTCAATTTTGCAATTTTTACTCCGTGCGATCAATAAACTTTGAACCTGAAAATAGCGTAAACTTGTGCTGATTTGCCAAAATTTTGTGAGCCCCTCTCCACGTAGGGACCCCCTCCCCCCTTACTAAGAAATATCACATTACTCCCCTTTAACCAGCCAAGGGTCTACGCCCTCAGATGCGAGCCAGTCCGACCCTGAGCAGACACGCTCAACATTCCCTCAGCAACTTTTTCAGGAATTGACGTTTGACACATTTGCTTGATGTTTATTAATAGTCGTATATCAAACCACACATTAGAGAAAATAATTTGCACTGAAAGTTCTACCTCAGACAAAGACTGAACCATTCCTGAGGGTTTTTGTGTCTTACATTTGACTAAGTGAAACACTTCTTGGTAGGTAAATAGGTACGGTTGGCAGCATTGGAATGAAGACGGGTGTTGACAGTTAGACGATAATAGAAAGTCACGGTGCACGATCGAAGAATGGGCGCCGCGCCGTCCTGGCGGGCTTCAGTTTTGTTTGGACTTTTTTGTGTGGTTTTAGACGGTGAGTGTGGTTCATCATGAAAGAGGAGGATTAAACAATGCTCCAGACGGCAACGCTGATGGTCCGCTCGGATTCCAACAGGATTGTGTCGAAAGCTACAGGAATAGGAATGGCTTTTTATGTACACGCTTCGGCTCTAATATTTATTCTCGTTTGTTTCGTCACACTTTAGTTCATACAGTACAATTTCCCTCTTTTCAGGAATCGATAGAACCTCTTGTTCGAGAAAAATCACATTTTGTGACTTTACACGGGAAATGAGACCTCAGTCAACGAAAACTTAACCTAGAGGGTAGGTATGTATATCATCACTGAGATATATGTGCTATATCCAATAGTAATCATCGAAATTTTAAAGCTCTTATAAGCAATTAAAAAAAATTTAAGGATTTCTGGTCCCCGGCGTAAATATCCTAGTTGCTGATCGTCGTAAATTAAGTAACTAACTAACTATTATACGTTGCCTTTACTACTATTCTGCCGTGCGAAGCAAAAACGCCGAAAATCCATCAAGATTTTCCCACGTTTCTGGAACTAATCACGTTTTTAAAATAAAAACTGTTGTACCTATGCACCTCAAAATTTTAAGTTAAGTTCTTTATAGCATTTTAGAAAGAATTCTGTAAAAACATTGGCCTAAAGTGCACAAGTTTTTTTGCCATGATACATTGTTTCCAAAAAATTTAAAATGGCATTTACGGCGTTTTTGCAGTATTAGTGGTATTCCCTGTTCCATATGAGCCACTAATTGGTTTACAAGCCATAGCTTCTTCTAAGTACACATCAGGACGTGTTAGGACCTTTGATTTTCCACAACTAATTAATATCTGACTCAATTTCAACAGAGGCTCGTCGTCATTGACAGGCAAGTTACGCCAAAGCGCGTAAAGGAAGCTTACGCACTAGGTTAACCTTAAAGCTGAATGAAGCCAGGCCCTGAGCTTGAACAGGTTACGACGCACCGAGACGGATGGATGATGGTTCGTGTCTGATGACTGCCGGCTCACGAGTGCCTATCCGCATCCTTATATAGGCTCCACCAGAGTTCTCTTGCGCTCGGCAAGAATCACTTATCTAGGAAGGGTTCAAATTGGAGTTGAGTGGTTTTTACTCGACTTGACGGCCGGAAGAAAACGCGGTAACGGGCCGCTGCCATCGAGGGCTCTGAAAGTCAACATAGGTAGAAAATAGGTCAACAGGCGCAAGTATTCGCTTAGATTCTCAAGAGGAGGAAGTATGGATAATATGAGCTTGGTTTTGGTGTACTGGACACTCACAAAAAACCCTAATGTTACCTAGGAAAAAAGTATTTGGGAAGAACCAAAGTTTCCAGTTCAGAAGATCCAAGTTTAATTTTTGTCTCGGAAAGCAAGCTTTGGTTCAAGCAACAATCGCATTGTTCGATAAAAAATACTCTAAAGTAAGTCAGAGTATGTTTACAAGATTAGCTGCTTGAACCAAAGTACCAAAAAGTTCAGTTATATCAACGGATAAGTTTTTCGAGCCATCGGAATCAAAACCAGGTTGCTTTAAGTAAAACTTTAAGTAAAAAGAGAATAGTCTCTTCCATGCAGAAGACTATTTTTTCACGATGAGGCAACGAAGCAAACGTGTTACAGATGCTGCATGGTCTTTTTTCAACTGTTCATTTGACTCTCGGCATAATTGCGTAATTATCTCCATCCAGCATCGTGGCTCTAATGAAATGAGCCATAAACTATGCGTATCACATGCGTAAGATCAAATTAGAGGTACACTTAAATCATAATTCGTACTTGAATCCATTACTCAATGCATAGTGTATTAATACCGGTCGAATTGCGTCGGAGTCCCTGGTTTTTTGTGAGACTTGCTGATATCAATGATATCATAACCGCGAGAGGCACGCGGAAGCTGTTCGTCCGATCAGGATCGATATTCAAATGCGAGCGGAAATTCAAATATCGCAGTAAATTCAAACGGTCCGCTTCGCAAAAATATGAATATTACGCAACAGACAGACGAATCGATTATGCATATTACCGTATTCCGCTACCTAATATTTTCGTTCAAAATCCTGGTCGTTCATTAAAGTCAGCTACGGATCGATTATTGAATCCTTATTGAATGATCATGGTCGATAAATCCCTGTCTTGGCCATGTTGGATTCAAATCGATGAATCGATTTATAGATGGATTCGATATCGATTCAATAATCCAAGTGCTGGTGAGGGGACAACGACCCCAGGTGTTTTTCCTTTCGACTTAGATGTATCGATTTTAACAATGACGTCAGAATTAAAGCTCCTCATGGTAGGAATGTCCGCATTTTAACAAATCAGGCTGCGTTCATTAATTTATTCCAGTATCATTTGTAGTTAAGCTTTATTGTGTTATTGATTACGAGGAAATTATTTACTCCCGCAAGGAAAACATAAACCAAAGGGATACAAACGGTAGTTAATGGAAAAGAGACCTTAACGTAGTTAAAAATAACTTTTTGAGGGTGAGTACTTTTTTCAGAGGCAAAAAATCTGAGTTTTAGTCTTCGACGAAAAGCAATCTGCAACCCTTCCGGAAGCGCTCTGCCATTTCAAATCTTCGCAGTAAAGCCTGCCGTAGGCGTCAAGCCGAGTGGTGAGTGCCTGGACAGTCAAAACGCCTTCAACTCCGTGCGTATGCAATACGGACATCCATTGAGTCCGAATAGTTGCATCAATGCATCAAGGAGTTAAAATGAGATTTGGATAGTACTCTTGCATTTGACACTAACTAAGGGCATCTTGCTTGTTTCTTTTACACCGCAACTTAATTCCAGCGTTGCCTATTGGGCCTATGAAGTAAAATATAACTGCTTTGCTTCGACATATTATCGATCCTCCTAAAAGTGCTTTGATTTTTTAAATATACATCGCAACGTTGCCGTCCTAAAATGAGGGTTTCGTCCATCCTCCTCTCTGATATAAGAGTGACGAATGCGGCGAAGTCGTCTCCTTGTCACTTCTATGCTGCCGTGCCAAGGAAAAACGCCGTATGTACATTCGAGAGTTGCCAGATTTCCTCCGACAAAATGTTTCTTTTTGAGGAGAGTTATGAATAATTTCTCTTGAAATTTTCTGATGATTTAGATCTAATTGCAAATGAAATCTCTGAAAATTTTGAGGAAATATATTCACAGATTTTTCTGAAAATTCGTATTTTAACAAGGGAAGTTTGGCAACGTCTGATGGTGCATACGACGATCTCCCGTAGCACGGCAGTATAAACGTTTCTAGCTCTAATTGCAAATGAACTTTTCTGAAAAACTGGAGGAAAAATATTCACAAATTTTTGGGTACATTTTTGCAGTTTCTTTTTAAGGACCATTATTGAGGTAGATTTAAGAGATCAGCACAGATCGAGATAGGCTAAATGACTCAGAAATATTCGTCATCACGGTATGCTACTTTAATATTAGCATACGAAGTAAGTGAATTAAA